TTTTTTTTAATGTCTTACCCCTGGGGGCCTTCCATTTGATTTCTAGATGTAGGGTTTTCTATACATTAATCATGATACGTAGCCTTTCTTTCGGCTCAATGTTTGTTTATCAGTTTTCCTAACAATTCAGATGCTCTCATTGCCGGAGATGACTCGTGAAGAATTGATGATCTCGCGAGCAATGGAAAACTGTGCAGTAAAGTCTGCAATTGCTGGAGTACTTGGTGCTGCTGTTGGTATGTTTTTCGTTGTTCCTAATTGCATATCCTGTATTAAGAAAGTGGATTTTAGGTGTTGCTTTTGGTTTGTTCACTGCTTCTGTGGATCCATCTTTGAGCATGGTTGGTAATGACCCAACAAAACAGGTTAGCAACTACTTCCTGGAAACTTGGTATTTATGTAATATCACATCAAGTAGCATTCAGAGAACTGGGAAGCTACATTATATGCTATCACTGTAATTGAACTCTGTTTTTTCTTGTGGTTACTTACCAAGGTGTTTGTACAAGTGATTAGAATAACTTGAAAGTTCTCCCTATTACTGACGTTCGCTGAAATTTTGCAGAGAGATACGAAGAAGATTTACCAGCAAGCCGTTAGCTAGGGCTGGGTTTAGATGCGACATCCCTAAGCCAGTTCAAATATTGATTAAAAAGATTTTTGAAAACTTTTAGTCACAGTCTCTAATTGAATAAAAATAATCGATTTTGGACTCATACCATGATGTTTGAGGCCCAGTATCGGCGTTAGTAGGGGTAGACGGGGGCATTAAGAAATTGGTACGCAAGGCTTCAACAAGTTAACCTATATTACTATCTTGAAGCACTGTTGAAGTTATTTTTCTTGTGTGCTGCATAGGAGCCAGTGATTGACATAAACTTTTGAAATTTTCATTTATGAATTTAATACTTCCAATTATTACATATTTTAATTCGCTTTGCAATAAGACTGCCACATTTTCGAGCTTATTTCAGCTTACCTTAAAAGAGACTTGGAAAGAGATGAGCTCAAGGATGAAGTCATACGGAAAAAATTTTGCAACTCTTGGATTCTTGTTTTCCGGTATACACTCATAAAATGACGCTTGAGTGATAAGGAAAACATTTGATTTTGCAGGCACAGAGTGTATACTGGAGAGTGTACGCGCCAAAAGCGACTGGAGGAACGGAACCTATTCTGGAGGTAAGGATGATACTGATAACATAATTTACTGTAGAAAATTCAATTTTCTTGACTTTAGCAATTGTTGGTGCTCTTTTTGGTCTACGAGCCGGCATTAAACCTGCGATGTGGGGTGCTGCCGGTTTTGCTGCCTTCTCAACGGTTATTGACTACTATATGAAGGGCTTCTGAAAGTCTGCAAACCTAGTTTTTGTTATTATCATAGTATCTTTTCTATTCTTTATAGCGTCGCATACATTACATTCAAACTTAACTTATATTTTGTATTTTTTCAAAATGTCTACGGGTAAATAGCGAATAAAATTGGAACCTCTACGAGTCTTACTCTTGAAAAAGGGGAAAAAATTTTTAAGGGAGTGTTTGCATTCAAACATTCTCTGAGAGTAAAAGAGTACAGTTGAACTCTTGAACATGCAACGAACTTGAACAAATGTTAAAGGAGGTGGCTCCCGTTCTGTCACTTATGTAGTTGAGTCTCAAAAAT